TCACAAGTGAACCCCCTTCCCTTCCGGGTAGAAGGGGCAGAATGAGTACCATGGGCATTATGGGTAGTCATACTCCATACCCCAACAGAACCCTCACATCTGCCAGCTTGCGCACCTTGAGATTGGCCCGGAGACAGCTGCGAGTCTCTTTCTTACTCATGCCTGAAAACAGGGTCTTGGGCACAAATAGGTGTAGCGGCTAGAACGGGTATGGGTACATTGGGTATGATGGGTGAGTTGAGTACGAGGGGCATACTGGGTGAATAGGATCTATTACCGCAAGTATCACAAAGGATCCCCCTAAAGCAGGCCCATACCTTCCAGACCAACGCATTTGACTGCTGAGCTGGCGCTTCTAAATTTCATGTTTATCGTGCTATTTTGCGGTACTATGCCAACTAGGGCTTGGAGTTTAGATTCAATTTGAGAGCTTGGAGGGTTTCTTACTATGTAGGAGAGTGCAAAATCCCCTTGCCAACTTGGAATCTCTATACAAAAAACACATATTTTGTTGGTGTTGGTTCCAGTTCCTACACTTGTACACTTTGAAATCCTGTTCATATGTTGTGTCGCATGAAGTTTAGTTTAAGCTAAGCCTGAAGAGCTGTACCTCAGCCATAGTTACCTTGGACCGGCTTAATTTAGGTCCTGTTTGCAAAGCACGGCCAGTTCGACCTGGCCGATGCTCCTGCCGTACTCCCAGTTGGATTGATGATTGAAATTCAATACCCAATTCGGTAAAAATTTGGCTTCAGGTCGAGTAGCGCTAGGAAGGAGCAATGCTGCGCTTCAGTAGGTACCTGCTTGGAAACATTTGGATCGAGTTCTGGTTGAGAATCCCATTCTGATTCTGGACACATTCGGGTGGATGAGCTTGCTAAACAATTCTAAAGACTTGGCTGTGAGGACCGGCTTGACCCTAAAGCGCCTTTCAATCGAGGAGTAGTAGTAGTAGTAGTAGTAGTAGTAGTAGTAGTAGTCATAGCAACAGTCAGGGAGAATTTTGGTCTGGGATCTAGGCGATGCTGCTTTCTTCACAGGATTCGCCGAAGTCGCCCGCAGGACTTGGCTTTCATCTTGCTGTAACTAACTGATACGGAGGCCTCGGGGCCACATAGGTATGACATGCGCAGCTGTTTTGACGCCTACAAGTGTACACACTGTCCAAGCAAATCTTTCACCTCAATGCGTTCTGCTCGGCAGGTGAAAGCGGGGAAAACAGCCTCTTGAGGCTCGCAGCGCTCCTGAAACAGGCGTGGGTTTAGGTTTAGGGTGTATTGGTTCTCAATCAGGAATATGGGAATATAGTCGTATCATGTAGGGTTATGTATGGCTATCCATATATATATATATGTATATATATATATATGGGGGGATTTTTTTGGGGATTCCACATTATTAGTCGGGAGGTCAACCACTCAGCTTCTAGATTGATCGAGGTCTCAAGGATTGTTCTAGAGCCTCCAAGTACTATGCGACAAGCAGGGGCGTTGGTCCGGAGCTCTTTAGGCAAATTCGAGGATGACAATCGAACCTAAACGACCGGACTGCATGGGCCATAGAACACCTTTGCTAAAGTGATGAAGGTTGTTCTTTACCTGTTTCCCCCTACGACTCAGGCACAGCCGAGTCTGCAGACATGCCCAAGTCCCTACATCCTACACCCTACTCTTAAGACACTCTCCGTTCCCAAGCCCAAACCCCTTGAAGCTTAAACCCTAAACCTTAAAACCCTCTAAACCCTGAACCCTAAAGCCTGAACCCTAAAACCCTAAAACCACCAAACCCTCAAAACCCTGAACCCTAAACCCTACAACCCTCTAAACCCTGAACCCTAAAGCCTGAACCCTAAAACCCTAAAACCCCAAAACCTTTGAACCCTGAACCCTAAACCCTAAAGCCTAAAGCCTAAACTTTAGACCCTAAACCCTAAAACCCCAAAACCCTCTAAACCCTGAAACCCTAAAGCTTTAAAGACACTCCCGTTTGGATCTGTGTTGGATTCTGGCCGCCCCTTTGGCTCGGACCGCGCCGTCCTGGCAAGGATCCGAAAGCTCGTGGCTGGAGCCCAAGGTTTCCTTTTAGGGTTTAGGGTTTTAAGGTTTAGGGTTTAGGGGTTTCGGGGTTTAGGGTTTAGGGTTTAGGGGTTTAGGGGTTTAGGGTTCTGGGTCCAGATTAGTATGAATGATCTCATTGTTATTGGTAGTATTAGTTTTACTATTGTTATTCTTATTGTTATTCTTATTGTTGTTATTATTGTTATGATTATTGTCATGTTTATTGTGATTATTATTGTTCTTCATATTGTCATTTTTTATTGTTAGTAGTTAGTAGTATCAAGGTTATTACTGTTACGAATATTGCGATTATTCTTGTTCTTATTCGTATTAATGTTATTTGTTATTATCAATATTATGATGATGTTCATTATTCCTAAACATGATGATCGCTCCTACACACAGGCGGCATCTCTGCGTCTTGTAAAAGGGGTATATATCTTTCTGAACAAAAATGTTTTTCCGGTGTCGTTGTCCATGCCCTTGGATTTCCGGAGTGGCCACAGCCCAAGACATACATACATTGGATACTGCCCCAACTCATAAACAACTGGATAATATTTCTGATATAATCATGTACAGCCCTTATTATGACTCCTATTATGGACTGTTCACGGGTGCGGGCAGGACCCAATATGCAGGATGTGACTGTCCTTGTGCAAATGGCCCAGGTCATGGCAGAATTGGAAGAGCAGAAAGAGGACGAGCATGCAAACGGTGACAAGGGCAATGACAACCAGGATGAGATCGGGGAAGACGAAGAGGAGGACATCACCGCTTTCAGGCCTGGTGGTACGGCAAAGTTGTTAGATCCTTCACCAAGTTGGCCCCCACATATGTAATCGTCAGTATAAAGAGGTGGAATATTCGGCCCTGGCTTGTTTTGAAGCCGCCAAATTCCATGCAATTCTTCTGGCAGAGGCCCGGCGACAGAGCAGGGGGCCTAGGTGGCGAAGCGGCGGAAGGTTGGCGGAGCGTTGTGTTGCAGAGGTGATTACCATTCGTCGGCGCATGCAGAAGGCCCGGAAGGCAGGCAAATTGAAAGGGCCGTAGCTTCGACAGAAGGGGCTCCTTGCTTGTTTGCTTGTGCCTTGCGCAGGAACGCATGGAGCAGGCTGGGATCTCATGTGATGCAACGCAAGCAGAACTGTTTATATCAGTTGTTGACAAAATTAGGGGTCCCTTTTTGGGGGTCCCCATAAGAAAGATTGTAGTATTTGGGAGGTTTATATTGAGGTCCCCTATTTATGGAAACTACCATATAGCCCACATACAACCCCAATATAACCCATATACAACCCTTATTTAACCCCTATAGCCCTTATACAACCCCAATATAACCTTTATATAACCCCTATATAGCCAAATCGTCCAGAAGTCTTTCTGCAAAGGCCGCGCTCGAGCGCCGCAGTCGAACGCCATCACCCTGGGCATCGAGGAAGGGCAGGGTTGCCAATTGAGTAGTATTGTATTTGGGGATACTATGGAACCCAATAGGGTTTAGAGGTTTAGGGTTTAGGGGTTTAGCGTTTAGAGGTTTAGGGTTTAGGGGTTTAGGGTTTAGGGGTTTAGCGGTTTAGGGTTTTGGGTCTAGGGTTATTTGGGGATACTATGGAACCCAATATAGAGTGAGATTATATCCTCCTTTTGGGGTATACTACTACTCAATTGTGATCTGAGCTATAGCCTAATGGGGTTGAGGGATTAGGGGATTAGGGATTTAGGGTTTAGGGTTTAGGGTCTGAACTCCTTAAAGGGGGGGACTATATCGGAGATTATATGGGGTTTAGGGTTTAGGGCCTACACTCCTTGAAGGGGGGTTATGTAGGGTTTAGGGTTTGGGGTGTAAACTCCTTAAAGAGGGTTATGTCGGGATAATAAGTGGAGTATTGTAGGTTTATTAAGGGGGATTTTGGGAGTTTAGCCTATAGCTGATCTGGACAGGGAAGATGTTCGGCGGAAGGGGTGCATGGGGCTGTGAGAGGCTTATTACCTTACTGAATCAGGCCTAATGTAGGACCTCTCCCACTTGGTGCCAGGCTAGGTCTGAGGTTGCCCCCAGTTACCCGCTTCATTCATGATAGGTTCCACGCCAGCACCCAGTTCCCTGAAAGTCGACAAGAAAAGAAAACGTGTGTACCCTGTTGCCAGGGAAGATTCTCCGTTAACCCTGCTCACTGAATGAAAAAGGCTAAGACGTCTAAGACTCCAAGCCCTCACAGATCCTAAACCCTGAATGCCCTAAATAGTAGTTTCTATTTTATTTTTCTGTTATCCCAATATAGCCCCCAAAATATGGTAGTTTCCATTTTACTTTCCATTATCCCTCAATGCCCTAAACATGTGAGATTCTCCTTGCTGAAAAACTGCGGCTCCCAGGGACTGCAGGGCTAAGTTGAGAATTGTTCTTGCTCCTGCTTCGTTGGGAATAGGGGACCGGAATAACCATGGTAATCCCTGTGGTAGTTGCTATGGACCAACTTGCCATCTCCAACTAAGCATGAACAAGCCAATTACACACAGATCATTTTTTGAACGCGCGGAGAAAAATGCAAGCTTTGCAGAATCAGTAACAGAGCGCATTCAATGGCAAGTTGTGTGCCTGTTTCTTCCAAGCTTTGCAGCTCTCATCAACCGTAAACCCAAAACAAAGAAGCCTGAAACCCGAAACAAAGAAACCTTGAACCCTAAACAAACAAACCCAAAACTCTAAACAAAGAAGCATTAAATCCCCAGTCTAGGCACCCTAGAAAGTGGGATGCCTTCTTTTCTGGAACCTTACCTATTTAGACTGTTCCAAGCTTCTGAAAGGATTCGTCCAGCAGCTTGGCGCAGCATTGGTACACAGATTTGGGGTTTCCCAAAAATTCAGGGGGTTCTTGTTTTTAAATTTTAGGATTTAGGGGTTTAGGGCCTATAATAAGATTTAGACTTTTTGAAGCATCGAAAAATTACATTACATTGGGCAAAGGCTCATCTCGGATGGAATTCCATGCTGGGGCAAGGGCAACATAAGGATCCCTGAGATCTCTAGAAGTGGGGGGGGACCTTTGGGATATAGTCCCCCTTAAGTAGATAGAATATGGGTTATATGGGGATCTTGTTAATGATATACCCAAAGCCATATTCCATCTACTTAAGGGGGATTGTATACTGGGACCATGTTTGAATGAGGGGCCCCTTAGCATCAGGTTGCTCAACTATCCTCATCTATATTTTTGCATGCACAGCAATTCATGAGCTGATGTTGATACAACAGCTGGTGCACTCGAAAGGAGCGCGAAGGAGAATCTAGATGCGGTTCAACATATCCCTTGTAATGCAGGCCTCCAACCAAGTTTAGCAACACTAGCTAAGGATACATGAGTGTGCTTTATACATGATTAATTAACAAAAGGTCGCGTTTCGCGGTGTTCGCGAAAAGGGCACAAAAGGGCTATGGAGGGTTGTGCGAAAGACGCTTCTGCAAAAAAAAGAATCTTTAACAATGTCTCAGAATCATCATTCTGGTAGTCGTTTGCCTTTCTAGACGACGTTTATAGCGCGCCTCCCATCGTCAAGATACTCCCCCAGACCCAAGCTGGGGTTTACAAGAAGTGTGAGGATACGAAGCCTCAAAGGGATGGACTTCTTTTTCTTGGAAAACCTGGAAAGTCGCGTTTCAATACTTGCTCACATGAGCTATAGTCAATACTCCCTTAAAGAGGGTATATAGGGGCTTACATAGGGAGTATAGGGTTATTAAGGGGAGACTAGGAGTTTAGACTATAACTCATATAACCCCAATATATACCCTGTTATAATGTAGTAGCTTCCATTTTCTTTTCCTTTATCCCCATATGGGCATCGCCCGAAAACCCCATGTGGAAGATTTTATATAAAACGACCACGGCTGGCTTAAAAGACCTTCCGCGAAAGGTCGCGATGGTGCTCGCGAAGGGAGCTTTGGATTTCGAGAAAGAGGTATCGTAAGCTATATTTCCCTTACTTACTTTCAACACAATTTCTCTTCTTCAGCTTCGCAGGCATGCTTCCAGGCATATTAGAACCCCTACTTAACCCTAAACCCTAGAAACCCTACTCCCTAAGCCCTATTGGTGCAAGGCTTCTGGCCTGCAGGACCTGGAGGCCTCACCCGAGTAGCTTAAGCTTGGATGATGGGCTAATAGGGTTT